CCCCCCCCCAGGGGCCTAGGCCACGCGCTTCCCACGCTCTTACCCCTCTTGGCCCTCACTGGGCCTTTGTCCGCGCTGCTCGCGCCCTTGGCTCCCGCCGAGCCTATGTGCCAGCCCTGTCTCAGGCTTCCCGGCACTGGGGCTCAGGTGGCATGCAGCCATGCCTGGCCCCTGACCTTTCTCCGGGTCCCTATGCCACACGCCTCTTAGGCACTTGCCCTCGCTGGGCCTGCTCCACGCTGCGTGCCCTTGGCTCCCGCCGAGCCTACGCGCCAGCCCGGCCTCGGGCTTCTTGGCACTGGGGCTCAGGTGGCATGCAGCCATGCCTGGCTCCCTGACCTTTCTCCGGTTCCTAGGCCCTCACTGGGCCGAATACTGCCCTCTCGGGCTGGGGTCTCAGCCCCACACACCCCACACCACACTGGTGCTAAGTTGCCGCGCCTTCCCGGCGCTGCTCGGTGCCCGCACAGGGCACCCAGGAAACCCCCGGACTACTTGGGATCTCCTGTGAGGCCTCCTCACACCCCTACAGCCTCACCCGGTCCTCCGGATGATACACACAACTGAATCATAAGCCCACCGGCTATAACAACACAATCAGCCTACCGGCTTCTACATCAAGTCCCGGCCATCCTGGCTCTCGGGCCAAAGCCTTCTGGTCAGGCTTCTCTCCGCCTGCACCATAATACAGCCCTCCATGAGCCAAGTGGCACTGCTCAGCCTAGCTCTCCCACAGAGCTCTTACACGCAGGCTGCCAGAAGGGACCTGCCAGCCAGGCTCCGGCCTAGCTGTTTATAAGGGCCTGGCCCTGCCCCCTTCCAGTCACATGACCCCTCTGGTTGCTCTAGCAACCCACAGCTGAGCTGCCCTGGTGATTGGCATCTGCTCTAATCCTTACTTAGGCACGGGGCACCCAAGTGCCCCCGTGACAGGCCCCTTGGTACTTCTGCTTGCAGCAGGCTCCTGCAGCTGGCAGGAGGCCCAGGGCCAACCAGGAATGGTCTGGCTTGCGCCAGGGCAGTGCGGAAAGGTGGCAGGAGAGTGGCTGGATTTGCTGGCAGCTAGAGAAGGCTGTGGGGATGGTGCACAGGGTGCGGGGCCACCTGGGCGGGTTGCTAGCTTCCCCAAGCCCGCCCAGGCTTCCAGTGCCCCGTGCACCATCCCTGCTGCCTTCTCTGGCTACCAGCACACCCAGCTTCCCCAAGAGACAGCACGAGGAGGCAACAAGAGGGCAGCTGGGTATGCTGGCAGCCAGACAAGATGGTGGGGATGGTGCACAGGATGCTGGAAGCCCAGGCAGGCTCAGAAAAGCTAGCAGCCCACCAGGGCAGCCCCATACCACATGCACCATCCCCATCGCCTTCTCTGGCCACCAGCAACCCTCCTGCTGCCTTCCTGTGCTGCCCCAGGGGCAAGCCAGCCCACTCCTGGGCAGCCCCTGGCACCCTGCCAGCTGCAAAAGCCTGCTGAAAGCAGAAGAGGCAAGGGCCTCAATCCCCTACCCCCCCCCCCCCCCCTTTTTTTTTTGGCAGAGCTTGCCCACCTCTCCTGCAGCTGGGAGGCAAGCTGCCGGTGGACCAAGTGGGCCCTGAGCTGCAGAGGGCCCCGGTTCTTCCCTCCACGGTGGCAGCACCCCCACCATTTCAATTTAGAGGGCACAGAATAAAACCTTGGGACTAAGCCCCTGTCATTTGTACAAGTACCCCTTAATGACCAACACCAGTTCAAGAAGTTTTGTGTAGATGTAACTCAAGGTAGAGACAGCATGTAAGTTATATCTCAATTTAATTTTGCAACAAAGACAAGCCCTTAGGTGTTTCTGACTACAGCATCGTTTATGTAAAAGATTAATTGTATTCAAGATGGCATCTCCAAATCAAATCCCAGAAATCTGTGGTAGTCAGAAAAAGATCTGAGAATTGTAATTTGTCAGAGGAGCACTTATCACAGCAGTGCATAAGAAAATGATATGAAATACTAGAAGCTCCTAGATGAGTACAGCAGTGCCCTCCTCATTTGGCTGCAGTCAGACACCTTGCTAGCTCCCTGCTGGCCTCAAAAAGCTGTGGATTGGAGCCCCTGAAGACTACAGTCGGAATCAAACCCAGGACTCCCACTTCCTTGGGAAGTGCTGTTATGCTAGTCTACTCTGCAAAATGTACAGATTTCGCTTGATTTATATGGGTTCTGTATGTGTGAATTAGGTCTTATGCAATTACCCTTTTTATACCAAAAATGTGTTATACACAAGGTAAATGCACGCTTATGCAATTGGTGTGGTGGAAGCCTGCAGTCAGCTGCTTTGTGCAGTGCATTGTGGCAGTGACACACACCAAAATATCGTCTTCTGTGTGGATCTGTGCTCCTCACTCATTGTCTGCAACACGTGTTTCTGTAGTTGCCATCCCCATTATGATAGTGCCCCACATTTGTGCATACTGTCTGCTGTTGGTGAGTATCAGAACTGCCTTGTAAAAGTGGTAGAAATGAGTCTGGGGGTCAGTATAGTCGGGGTCTTGGAACATATCCTTATTTATTATATTGTAAACGGGTTTAAAATTTGAGTTATGCACTATTTTCCAGGAATGCATGTACAGTATAAAGCAAGGGAAACCTGTACCACCACTTCCTCCCCTTATGTTTCTGAATAAAAGTAACTGTGGATGCAAACAATATGCCACCAGCTTGTATTAACTGCACTTAGAGCACATCTACCGTATTGGGCCTGTCTGAGGGCCCAATACAAAACTGCCTTGTTTGCAAATCTCTGAGGGACTCGGAGTGCAACTTAGATGGTGTCAAAGTCACCAGAAAACTCAGATTCCTGAGGGTTTTCATACAACTACGTGAAATAGGCAGGGTCTCAGTGAAGCACTCTCTCAGGTTTAGGTGCCTATGTTTTTTCCAAGTCACATTTTAAGAAGCTTTGTTCCTCAGTGAATCACATCCAGAGTATAGTAGCTAAATATGTCCAAAGATTCTGTCCTCTTTGAGTGTGCCCCCAGGCCATAAGAAGAGGGTCAAAGTCAAATTGCAGAGGTTGAGTCAGAACGGGTCAGTGAGAGAACAGGCAAAAATGTATCCAGTAAAGCACGCTTGCTTCTGGAGCCTGGAATAGGACCCAGTATACTCGAGTCTTACATTCTTAGTGCAGAGAAGATATCTGGGTACCATCTGACCAAGTTTATTTGCTCCAAGAGGCACAGGTATGTAGTGAATCTAAAAGTTCTGGGGTCATAGGTTTTCTTCTACGTGGTGAAAATTCTGATTACGTCAATTGCTTTTTTAAACTCACAGGCAACTACACAAAATCAAGCACTCAAGAGTTAGGAAATTTCATAGATTTCATAGACATTAGGGCTGGAAGGGACCTCGGAAAATCATCGAGTCCAGCCCCCCGCCCAAAGGGCAGGAAGTCAGCTGGCGTCATAGGATCCCAGCAAGATAAGCATCCAATTTACTCTTGAAGGTGTTCAATGTAAGTGCTTGAACCACCTCCGATGCCAGGCTGTTCCAGACCTTGGGGGCTCAGACAGTAAAGAAATTCTTCCTTATGTCCAGCCTGAAACAGTCTTGCAGTAGTTTATGACAGTTCAACCTCATCATCCCATGGGGCGCTCTGGTGAACAAACATTCCCCCAGATATTGGTGGTCACCCCTGATAAACTTATAGGTGGCCATCAGATCACCCCTGAGCCTGCGCTTTTCCAAGCTAAAGAGCCCCATGGCTCTCAGCCTGTCGTCGTAAGGTCTGTTTTCCTAACCTCTGATCATGCGCATGGCTCTTTTCTGCACTCTCTCAAGCTTCTCCACATTTTTGAGTTGTGGAGCCCAAAACTGGACGCAGTACTCCAGCTGCAGCCTCACCAAGGCCAAGTACAGTGGGAGAATGACATCCTGGGATTTGCTTGAGAAGCATCTATGGATTCAAGCCAGCGTTTTGGTCACTTTACTAGCTGCAGCATCACATTGCAGGCTCATGTTCATCTTGTGGTCAATGATGACCCCTAAGTCGCTTTCTTCCGTAGTGCCAGCCAGCATACCACTGCTGAGCCTGTAAGGATGCTGCAGGTTTTCCCTCCCAATGTGGAGAACCTTGCATTTTTCAGCATTAAACACCATCAGGTTCTCATCTGCCCATTTGCTCAGCCTGTTCAGATCAGCCTAGATCTCCCGCCTGTCTTCTGGTGTGGATGCTTTGCCCCAAAGTTTGGTGTCATTGGCGAACTTGGCCAGTCAGCTTCTGACTCCAATGTTCACATCGTTAATGAAGATGTTGAACAATATGGGTCCAAGGACAGAGCCTTGGGGGGGCCCACTCGTCAGAATTCAAGTGGCCTTGTAAATTTAATTCAACCCCCTCAGAAACTAGTCAGATACAATCTTTCTGAATGCCTGACTTTACAAAGTTCAGCTTATGGGCTAGGCTTGCTTGTAATATATTGTTTTGTAATGTATGTATTGCATAATAGATGTTATTTTTTAAAAGTTACAGAAAAGGTTTTTTGATTGGTTCATGCCATAATCCTTCGTCAAACAACTGCTTTAACTGAGACAGGCAATAAGTTGTTCCATTTCTTATACTTTTATTCTGGTTTACCACATTTTCTATAAATAGTATTTGTTTTTACAACTATATGATGAAATAGATGGATTGCATAAGAATCTGAACTTTTATCTATTAATCAAACTGAGAAATGTTCTTAATACCATATTTGCTTGAAACCAACAACCAAGAATTCTTTAGCTAACAATTAGCCTTTCACACATTAAAATTGACTTTTTTCCCAGTTGAAAATACAGATAAATTACTCACAATTGTTTTTTTAGAGTACATATTATTCCCAGGAACAGTAAGAACAGCATACATAATCCAATTGATATAAATATATAAAGTAGGTCTTCCTTATCTTGAAAGAAAGAACAAATAGTGAAACATTTCTGTATATATTCCACTGAAGAACTCATTTTCAATTTTTAGTCTGTAATTTCAGAGTCACTTGCTAACATAATTTGAAAGGGTTTTTGTTATTTCATCTTTGCCAAATTAATCAGGTTATTGTATCCAGCTGTGTAACAGTATGTGATGGTGCTTTACGTGGATCTTAGAACAGCTGCTTCTTTATTACAATAGCTGTTTCTTTACCGTCTCTGATCCGTCTGGCTAACATGGTAGAAGATCCCGTACCAATGGTACCCACAGAAACTGATATGCCTAGCACTGTATCCAGCATAGCCTTAACTCTTCAGACTGAATGATTCACCACTGGGTCAACACAGCACAGTCTTCAGTACAAGTCCAGAGCAGGGTTTGCCCACATTCATCTGGAGCCCTAGCAAAATAACCTTAGCTACAGCAGTATCATACCCCAGCACCACCTCTTTGCAATCTATAAAATGTATGGTAAATCATGCAGAGGCGGCATATTTTAAAATACATTCACAGTGTAGTCCTACTAATGACTGCAGTGTGGGGTTGAGGTATATGAACTATGGTATCTAATTTGGATACCAGAAAGCAATCTAGTCACAGCAGAATAAACCTCGGCATGTTATAAATCAGTCTGCTTTTTGGGTAGCAGTATAGTTACTAATTTACAGGCAGACAAAGTTATGCCATATGCAGACAGCTGTACATGAGCTAGCTAGTTTAAAGCTAACTTACACATCCCTACATTACTTTGTAGTTACTCCATTATAGACGTGCTAAGAAACGAAACAGAACTGAGGAAATAGTTTTCTACATTGTTTCTTTCATTTTGAAATCTTAACAGAACAACTCTGAATTTCTGACTCATAGCCATCCCAAGGGAGAGGAAGACAATGATAGTAAGAAAACAAAGATACAAGGTTACTTCCCAAAGGCCACAATGGTGTATTGAGTAACTTGCTAGCCAAGTTTAATTTAAAGGAAACTGTGTCATGCTTACAGTAAATTGTTTATATGGGCAGAGAGACAATAAAACATCATAATACACATTTATTTGAGCCCAATTTCTAAGGCAGATCTTTTCTGATAAAATATTAAGCCTTAATCCTGTAACTGACAGAATAGAAACTTACTACTTTGCCACATAGAGCCATGGGCTTCAGCAAAGACCTATGGGGGAGCAGCAGTCAACTGTTAAAATCCTAATCCATGAAGTTTTGGGCTGCAACATCTTCCAAGGCATTGAGTCAAATTCAACTACTTCTAACTATTCTCCTTTGGTTTTGCTCAAACATTCAGAAGAAGCTAGGAGTGTCCTAACAAGCAGCAACATGAAAAACCTGTGGCTCCAACCCTATTTTACCTGTATGGTATCCAAGTGGTACTTACTTAAGTACCCAAGTACAGTCCTATTCCACCCTGTTCAAATCATTAATGTACCAGATTTGTAATGCACCTTCATTTTAGTCTGAAGGTTCATGCTTTGGACACACATTTGTAATGTTACAAGAAGTGGATGTCTAGATAGTCATGGCATTTGTAGCACCACAAAAATGGGGGATCCACCACAGAAACAAACAGAAGCATTCAGAAAGATTTGGGACTGTTCAGCCTGGAGAACAGAAGACTCAGAGGGGACTTGGTGGCAGCCTATAAGTATATCAAGGGCATAAATCAGGGCCTGGGGGAGCATCTTTTCAGCAAGCCCCCCGCAGGGGAGGACAAGAAATATTGGGCACACGCTGATTGAGGATCACTTCAGGCTAGATACAAGGAAAAACTTCTTTACAAGTTGAGTGCCAAGGGTTTGGTATAGGCTCCCCCCACAGGTGATACAGTAACCCACCCTGGTGAACTTCAAAAAGCGTCTTGATGCCCACCTTGCTGGGGTCGCCCAAGTGCAGGGAGGCTGGACCTGATGACCTGTAAAGTCCCTTTCAGCCCCTAACAACTATGAAACTATCTTCCAAAGGAGATTTTCTCAGTAGTCCTACATGTAATATATGGACAGTTATATAGATTTCATAGATGTTTGGGTTGGAAGGGACCTCAGTAGCTCATCAAGTCTGACCCCCTACCCTGGGCAGGAAAAAGCACTGGGGTCAGATGACCCCAGCTAGGTGTTCATCTCCTCTTATATCTACCACTATGCAGCGTCTCTCAGATCCCCAGCATTCCACAATCCTCTGCTACCCCTTCCCCACTCCAAAGGGAGAGGGGGAAAGCAGCTAGCACTCTGACAACATGACCAGAGGTGACGAGCCATCTTAAAATGCTGCTGGGACCCTGCTGCTCTTGCTGCAGCTGGAAGCACTGGCAACAGCTGGTGGTGCTGGCAGTGGGAACAGCCGCCTCCATCACCAACACCAGAGGAGCATGTCTCTTGCCAGTGCTCCCAGGATGCTGGCTGCACCAGGAAGAACTGCCACTGCCACAAACAGTGACAGGACATCAGCAAGAGCTAGCGCACCCAGAGTGGCTGCAGCAGCAGGAGGCTGCCTTCAGCTACTGCTGCCACCACTTCATTACTGCAGCTGCCAAACTCACGGGCTCTCATGGGGGTGGGGGGAAGCAAAGAAGCTAGAAAGCATACTAGCTGAACAATGCCCCCCTGAAGCCACTTTGTAGCACTCCAGCCAGGGGGGCTGTGCATGTGTGCACACCCCATGGTACTTTATTCTTGTAGAGATACAAATAAATGTTTGCACATAGCCTCAGTTTCAAAAAGCAGTGAGGAGGAGGAGAAGGGCCCATCTGCCTTTGGTGTTAGCAATTGTTCAAGGACTTGAACAGGATGGAACAGCATTGCACTTCAGTGCCTTGGAGAGGCAATGGGATTTTGATCTGTATCTCTTACCCCCAAAAAACATCATCAGTGCAGTATGATTTAACCTCCAACATCACTTACTAAATTTTGAAGTCTTGAAAGTTATTGTGTTTCCACTTTTTCCACCAGCACTGTTGGCTGCAATCACATAAGCAGTATATTGGGTGTTTGCTTCCAGGGAACTCAGTTTGTACTGCAGAACATTAGAGTTCACAGTTTTATCTTTTCAGGGAAAGACAGACATGAAAGAAATCACAAATTAAATTTAAATAAGTAAATAAATAAACACACACAAATACTAATTAAACAGAAATAAGTGTTAAATATTATTATTTTATGTTTACATAGGGCCATTTACATTGAAAAAAATCCAAAAGTTTTTACAGATTTGTTGAAATACAAAATAACCAAAGATGTCATTTGGGGTGGAACAAAGAAATTGTTGAATATAGCACAATGCTATATAACAATTTAGGACAGGAAGTGAATCATTTTATGGCCAACTGAAAAGTACAGGAAAAATCTTAGATGGGCAAAATGTAAAAAGTATGGATGATACTTTCTGCATAGTAAAAGAGCAATGGGATCTTTATCATCACAAGTTGTAGGTCCTGGCTTTTATTGCCAAATTAAAAAGACAGCATAAAAGACAGACACATCAGTTCAGAACAATCCAAGATAGACTGAAAAGAAAAATTACCACCTCCATACATGCCATCATTACATGTACCATGTAGGTGTTTTCTGGGCAACATATATGCAAGTGCTGACACACACCAAAAAAGGCATTTAGTATTTAAATCATCCCACTTTACTCAACATTGGTGCGGCCACAGCTGGAGTATTGTGTCCAGTTTTGGGTGCCACACTTCAACAAGGACATACTATAGGCTCGAGAGGGTCCAGAGAAGGGCCACCCGTATGATCAGAGATTTGCATGGCAAGCCATATGAGGAGAGGCTGAGGGATCTCGGACTCTTCAGCCTAAAGAAAGAAGGCTGAGAGGGGACCCGACTGTGGCTTACTGCTATATCAGAGACATACATCAGGAGCTCAGTGAAAAACTGTTCACCAGTGCACCATGGGGGAAAACTAGAAACAATGGCCACAAACTCCCGGAAGATAGTTTCAGGCTGAACATTAGGAAAAATTTATTCACAACTAGGGCCTCCAAACTGTGGAATGAGCTCCCCTCAGAGATGATGCAATCACCTACCCTAGAGGTTTTCAAGAGAAGACTGGGCAGTCACCTGGCTGGGGCCACCTGACCTCAGATGTCTTTCCGGCTCATGCAGGGGGCTGGACCCGATGATCCTTCAGAGTCCCTTCCAGCCCTACAATTCTATGGGTTTTTTTCCATGCAACTGTTTTTGTGTGCACTCTGCCACTGGACCTGCCATTCCCACATATCCAGAATGAAACAGGCATCTGCTTCCCAGGTTAGCCTCCACTTACTGTGGGATAGGATCAGGTGCATGAAGCAGTTCTTGTAGCATGGATGATGCACAGTAGGCCTCCCCTACCCCTTTTTAATTCAGTATAATATGGTCATCTCTCCATACTCTAAGTCAAATGAGATAGTAATAATGGGGCAACTGTTTGGAGAAACAGTTTTTTGCAGTTTACTCTAGTTTCCTTCATGAACTATCTATAGAGTATTACATTGATGTAGTTGTGATGGTCCAGAAACTGCTGCGAGAGACGAGCTTTAAAATCTTGATCAATTTTATCCCAGCTATACATTTGGTCCAATAAAAGTTATCAACCCCAAATGATCCTTGCTAGCTATAGAGTACATAAGAGAAATTGCTACAGTTGATTTACTTGTAATAGTGATCACAGTATAAATAAATCACAATACCCTCAGGAAGCTGGGATTATACTGGCAACTACCACTGTGCCAGTAAACTTTAGAAGGGAGATTTCTTTTAATTATGAAGCACTCATACTGAAACTGCAGTCCCATGTTTAACACAAAAGGGACTCAGTGCCATTCGCTCTTGTACTTACAATACATTCTTGAAAGCTTGAAGATAAGCGTGTGCCTCATTTAGGAGCACAACTTTTTCCCCATGGTAAATGCTGCAAAAGACACTGACCCACTTGCTTACTTCTATATCTGACTGATGCCAACAGACATTAAGAATTCTAGTAATAGCATTTCCTATTTAGCTGGTGTAGCATAACTGTAAGACTCAAGCAGCAAGCTCACAAAAATTCCATATCAATATCACATTAATTACTGAAGATTTGACTGGCCAGAATTTTTAAGTTCCTCAACAACAGATTTGTTGATTTAAAAAAAATTTCATCATGAAGGTCAGATTCTTCACTGGAGAAAATCCTCTTTTGATTTCTATAAAGAGTACCTTTAATGGAATATTGATAATATTGAAGGGGCATCTGTAATAAATCTATAATTGTATCTAGAATAAGTAACTGATCATACTAGGCTACTTCATTGCCCTATTTGAGAACCCTGCTTTTTCATAGTAAAAAAGATCTAACTTGCAAAACTTCCAGGACATTATTCCAGAATCTGAGTATCTGGAGTAGTCAACCTTTCAAAAACAGATCTAATCCCTCAGAAGATGCACTGTTCTCAAGAATCTATATGGATTCTATGCATCTGCAATACACTCCAGCTACTCTTTAACCCTTATTTTTGTCTTATACATTTCTCTAATGACCCTGACATTGCGTCTGGGATGGGTGATGGGGGAAAGAAAAGCAGCAAATAATTGTAAAATAATAATGACAAAATTAACAATCCTAAACTGTTGACTCTTTACAGTTATCTAAGTACATATGCTGCCAAACGTGCTTTCCCTAACACAAGGGTGGTCAACTTTCCCAGGTGCCACAAGTGCCATGGCCAGCCTCTACTTGTGGCTTTGGCAGACTGGTGAGAGGACAGGCAGCACCATGGCAGAGAGCAGAAAACAGAACAGCAAATCAGGCATGGGAAGGTGATTTGGAGTGGCACTTGATGAGAGGGCAGGACTAGTTTGCGGTATACCTGCCAAAAAGTTGCCGCCGCTGCTGTAGCACATGAGTTTTCATACAGTCTGAAAAAATGCTTCAGTCATCACATCCCTGCTTTTCACCACTATCACTATGAATCCATAACATTTTGTGGATCTGGAACATTATCATTGTTCCCTATTGTTACTACTATGTCAGCCATTCAGGTCAGTTTCATGAGGAACAAGCACAACTGTGCTAAATGGAGCCACCTAAGTCAAAGGAATTGAGCACCCCCACCCCCACACAGAGACACACAAACATACACACAAAGATGAGAAAATTCTTGGAAAAAATAAAATAACTTTATCCACATTTTAATGCATATATTTTAGATATGGTTATTATATAAGCAACTGATTATTTTCAGTGAAGTTAATATGGAGCCAATAAAAGTTGGACTCACTGACCGAGTTGGTCACTTAGTAGTACACAGGGTTCTATGGGTAAATCTGATATCTTTTATTAGACCAACTCAAATCATTGAAAAAATTCTTCTTTGCAAGAATTTCAGGTATAAATACCCTTTGTCAGGCTGAGGAAGCATCTGCAGTTGGTGTGTGCTCTTCCTGGAAGCATTGAATAGTAAAGAAGCCAGATGCTTCCTCAGCCTGATGAATGGTGTTTAAACCCAAAAGCTTGCTAAGAAGAATTTTTCCAACTATTTGAGTTAGTCTAATAAAAGATATCAGATTTATCCAAAGAACCTTGTTTGCCTATATCCTTAGACCAACACGGGTACAACCTATACCCCTGTCAATTAGTAGTAGGCATCTGGCTGTCTCACAAGACAACAGAATTATGCCGAATGAGACATCAGCCTGGTGACTATAATCCTTGCTTGGGCAGTGTATATTGAGACACTTTGCTGCCCTCACCAGTGTCCTCTTCTCAGCCTTGCTGGTTTACTTCAGTAGAAAGGTAGGTGCCAGTATGTTTGGAACTAGCTTGGCCACAGGAGCTGCTGGAGTGCAGATCATCCATTTGTCCAACTATCAGGGCTCCACTCCTAGGTACCCCCATGGTGCTCTTCTGCACAAAGTCATTGGCACCCTCAAGGTTGCCAGGCTATTTAACCACTACCCAGCACTCAGAGATAACAGTCAGAGAGAACTGTTGGGCACTTACAGTCCTGTGTTCCTATGTACACACAGGTCCTATGCGATTAACTGGAATACTCCATTGTCAGGTTTAACTTTAAAAAGATATCACCTGCCATCAACATCTAGGTGTTGTAGCAACAGATATGAGCAATGAGCATCAGTAAAGAAAATATGACGATCATCCCATTCATTTTTAGAGTTCAGACTACCTATGTAAATGCCCAAGTGCCTTCCAGCAACATGATTTGTAACTGCCACTCATTGTTTGTTCTCTTATATTCTTGTTAATGGGGGGAAGTGTGTGCAGCAGGACTGTTGTTTCAGTTGTGTTTTGTTAGCAATATATGTGGCTATGCATATTGCCAACAGAAAAAAAGCTGAAAAACTTTACCTTGCACTTGGTGCGACAGCTGGTAAGATCTGTGAATGTTTTTAGTAGACCAGGTTGAGAAACCTAAGACAGATACCTGAGCCAACTTAACACCGCAAGCTGCTTATCCACAGCAACTCACAGAGCTCCACATGAGCAATACAGAAACTTTACCCTTACTGTACAGAGTTCCATTGTGTTGGAGGTATGAAATAGTCAACCCTGGCTTTCAAACAAGCGGTCTTTGAGCTATCTCTGGACAACATGCCACCCAACTGAGCTCTTAAATGCAAATAAACATGAAGAGACTGATGGGGAGTAGCAAAGCAAGATCAGTGATTCTGAATCACCAATTCATCTTACAAAGACTTGAAATTTTCTCTTGCAGAATTCGCTACCGGTTTAAGTAGAATCAGAAGTCACGTGCTGATCTGTTCATCATGTGATAAATGTCATAAATCAGTGAGTTGGTACCACAAAGTGGAGAAGCTTTATCTTCAATTTAACAAAAACATACTTACTTAATTCTTTTCCACCTTTAGATTTATAAAATATTGTATAGTTTCTAATGAAGCCATTTTTGTGCATTTTATTAATCTCATTCCATTTTATTATAGCCTCATTTTTGCCTAGATAGTCTGCTTTAGGTTCAGGACCAATAGTTGGAGCTGCAAAAAATATAAACATGTATATTTAAAATATATATAATACTGAAAAAGACACAGCTTTACTAATCTGTAATGTGACATGCACACCAGTGATATAAGAAAGAGCCATTATTATTTATCCAAGTTTATCAAATATCTGGTACCAACCCTCAGCTCCTCTCATCTTTCCAGAGATACTGTCTTTGATGATAACATTTATACCTTTTGTTGTGCACTTACATAATTCTCAGCACTACAGTGTCTGAGTGATTTGTAATTATTAAAGGATTTTACCCTCCCAACATTCTTGTGAGGTAAGGAAATAGGATACCCATGGAGAACTGAAGTTCAAAGCAGGACAATGTGATCTACCAAAGTCTGTGGTTTCCCATGGTTAGCCATGTCCCAGTTCAACCTATTTGACCAGACTTCCTACTCACATTATATAATATAACCCCTACTGCATGGCACAAGCAAAAGTTCTGTATGCTTAAGTCCTTTGAACACGGATCTAGTCCTTTCCCTTATTCTGTCAACCATAACTACAGTCAGAGCATTGTGTAAGTTAATGAACAAAAAGCATTCAAACTAAGCCCTGACTACATCCCTTCATACAACCTCAAATATACAGGAATGTACACTGTTCATTGATATGTAAAAATAGAAAAAGGGAAAAAAGCAAACCCACAAACTTTTCTAATGACCCATTTTATTCTATGTGTAGAAATTTACCTTTTACTCTTTTGAGTGCAAGGGTAACACAAAGAGTTCAGTCAGTTATATCTTTAAAAATGTGTAATCTAAATGTGATGCAACGTTTAAGAACTGACTTGTCTCTACTATAATAAAATAAATTATAATATATTTGTGTCAATGTTCATCTAAACATCTCAAAGCACTTTACAAACATCATGTAACCTTACAACATTGTTGCAGGTTAGTGAACACTCTACCTATATTAAAAATGGTAGATTAAAGAACATACATTAAATAACATAGTGAGAAATGTATAGCAAGTCAAGGGTTGAATTGGGAATATCAGGAGTCTTGGCACCTCGTTCTAATACAATTCACAATTAAGCAGTGCAGCTCCTAAACACAGTGCTCAACTGCTACTGCAATCTACAGAACAGAACAGAAGGTACTATTGGTAGTTTCATATACATACGTTTTTCTTGAAAATAAGCCTGTACAGAATATGGAGCTCCTATTTTATTCTCAAAGAGAGGGTACACTGAGATATTGTAGCATATGAATGATTCAAAGGCTCCTGTAAGGGGAAAATGTATTAGATACATAATAATTTGCTTCACTGATATGATTTATATAAAGAAAATGGAAAAAGTAACATTTTCCTGGTATTGAATAAACAAATCCTGCTCCTGACTAGTATTTTCCCCTTGGTCTTTATGACAGCATGTGTATTTACTCTTATGCATGCCCATTGCTATACTTAAATACAAGGAGGAAACCCATTTCAGACCCACAGAAAGAGTGGATTTGGCAGTCTTTCTACAAGCATTTGAATTCAGAACTATTTCCAAAAGAAATACATGGAATAAGCAGCAGTTTTTATACTTTTTTTACTTAGCCTTTATCTGCTAAATGAACCTTACTATCACTAACATCTAACATGACTAGATTAGTATATTTATTTTAGAAATCTCTAGTATCAAATGACCCAATAGTTCTTTTGTAGCATTCTTTCCAACATTTTGCATGCACGATGATTGCACATAATAAAGACTTATTCCTTGTCAAAGACGGATAGTCTGTAATGTGTAAAAGCATTTAAAAGTTACAATAAAGCTTCTTCAAATCTGACCACCAGCTATGCAGAATATAGCCAAGCATCTTCTGAGCCCTGTAAATGAAGTCTCTGTGATAACATTTTAATTGATTTATTTCTAGGTACAATTCAAAGATTCACTTAATGATCTTCCAAATCCTGAACATTCTGGTAATTAATTTAAAAGAAGAACTCACTTGCTGTTGCCTATTTCAACCAACTAAAATTGAAAGGGGGGGAACTAGTTACTGGAACGCTCTGGACTAAATCATGTAATGTAGCCACACTGCCAACCTAATTCAAATCTGCAGTTCATTCCATCTGACCAAAGCTTGTGGCTTGTCATCCCATAAAATGAAGCCAACATAGAAACTTTTATGACCCTTCCTCTTAGTCTTGAAAACAGAAAAAGTGGATATTGTCCAGCTCACCAAAACTTACTAAGTAGCCCTCCACCCAAAATAATTGCCTGCCCCTGGGTTAGAAATATGTTTGACCCTATGGATTCCTATTTGAAATCTCTGGGCTTATTTTGTGACTTGTGTAGGAGTTTATACACCTAACAGTGCTAATATTGTGTCACACCTGCAGAACTCTTAAAAGGATCTCACAGCATTCCAGTGTGTTATGGTACCCTGGTTGAGAATCACCAATCAAAATAACTGCAGATAATGTGCTTGTCATATTCCACATTGCCATTAACATCCAAAATTTCCCCTTCCTACACAGTTGATTTCTTAATGCAGTTTTATGATTCATAACAATTTCATGTACTTATATCCAAACAATAACTATTGGTGTAGCTGCTTGACAAAAAATGTGCAATGAAGGAATTTTTGCACATGCACGCATCACAGCAGTGGGCATTCTGAAAAGTGCCCAGCGCTGCGACGTATACAGTTGTATAAGTAGCAAAATGTGCATCAGCACTGAGAAAATGGCAGCAGTGCACTTTGCTACCATTTTCTGTGCACTGACATGCATTTCACCACTTACGGAACTGCACAGGGCGCAGTGCAGTTCACCTCAGCTCACGTGCGGCGCAGACTCAAACCAGTCTGCTCCCATACTGTGGGTGTCCAGTGCACTGCTGGAAAAAAAGTATATGTACAAATGCCGTGAGGGTCTTCAAGAAAAAAGGATCAGCACATGAACGGCGTGTGCCCCTGGTGGCTGGTGAGCGTGGCAGCAGCAGGAGTGGCAGGAGCGCGGCGGCAGTAAGCGGGGGAGCTCCCTCAGATGCCACCAGTGCTGTCGGCAGCAGGGGTGGAGGGGAGGAGCGCCATCCAAGGGTCGGTGACCACCTGCAGCTGCCACTGGCAGCATTGGCAGTGGTCAGCGGGAATCATGGACCACCTGCAGGCGCCACTGGCGGTGTCTATGGCACCTTTTTGCAGGGGGTGCGCTGCCATGCTCAGGGGGTGCACATGCACCCGTGTGCACCTCCTATGTGGCGCCCCTTGATTAGCAGATCCTCGACCAACTTTGAGAGCTTTGAGTAGTCCTTGAATGTACTAAGAAACTTGTTTTCACTAACTGATGAAACTGCTTTTGTCTCACAGCACTAAGTAAAATATTGGCTAATAATTATATTTTGTTTGGGGGGGTTCCCCCCCCAAGCCACAAGGGTTTATTTGGGTTTAATTTTTTGTTCTTAACCTCTTTGCCAGAAGTTGGCAACTTGTGG